GAAAGGTGAGATAAAATAACTTAATTGACCATTTGAGGTCTTTTTAGAGATCGTACTGGTGCAGTATCTAGAAAATATGGGGAAAATGCTGACATCATATACAGTATTTACTTCCGTAACTATTTGTTAATATGTTGTTAATACGAGTTGCAGTATTTATAGCTATCCTGTTAGGGTGTGTAATTGTTGGACGGAATCTTTAACAAAACACATAATTAATACATTTTTTGTGTATGATTGTGTGCATTTAGAATATCTATATTAAAGTCTCCACAAACACTAACTTATGATTATTTGTATTTAATTCTACTGTACATTTCTGAAAAGTAATTCATTATTAATAATTAATTATGAAATATTTTGTTTACAAATGAAATTCTTACCTTCTTAACTAAATATTTAACTTTAAGTAAATATTTATCATCCAAACTAAATATTTAACTTTTTAACTAAATACTTTGATTGCAAACTAAATATTTGCCTTCTTAAATATATATCTAGCATCCAAATGAAATATTTAACTATTTAACTAAATATTTTGTTTACAACCCAAATATGTATCTTCTTCAGGGCCGTGCAGAGAACTTTGACGGGGCGGGTGCTCAAAGTAAAAAAAAAAAAAAAAAAAAAAAAAGGGCACTTGTAGAGCAATCCAACAAGTTAGAAATTTCAAATAATGAGACCCTTGGGTTCAAACAACATAATAAAAATATATCAATTAGTGTCATTAGTGTTAATGTTAGTTCATAAATAACAGTTTTTGTTTATAAAGCTGACTTATATCTAGAGGTGTTACAACCACATTTCTGCCCCTGATCTGAGTCCAAGTTGTTTGATTTTTGAATATCTTCCAATACTGAGTCCTGTTCTGATTCCAGGTGGTGATGCAACGCAGTTGCAGCCAAGTGAGATTCTGTTTGGGTAAAATCCTCCCCGATTTCTTTCTTTCTTTTGAGCCTTTGCTTGGATTGAGTGAAGCTCTGCTGCCACTTTGATTCAGCAAAGTGAGAAAAAAATTTCTAATAAAAAAGTCATTGAATTTTTTTCATGTCGTTGCTGAAAATCTGACCAATATTTGCTTTGAGAGGAGACTTGACCATTTTCTGTGGTTTCCTTTTGTTCATTAGCTTAAAGCTCTAATGGTTTAACTCACTGTTGGTTGACTTTCAAACAAAATTGTTATTGTTACTGTCAACAAAAACTTGACATATAATTATTACTTTTTTAATCTTTTAATTTAGGTATGCAAACAGTTCTGAAGGTAACTAAATCAATCACTTTGTTCAAACAGGTGCAATGAGTTTAAAGCAACACTAAAGTGTTTTAACACTTTAAGCTATTGCTTTCAAGCTGGACTTAGTGGTTATTGAGCCAAAAACTTGAGTAACTTCATATGGGACAGCACTCTTCAGCCCTCTTCTGACCAGAAACTGCACTTAACAGTTACTGTGGAGGTAGCTCATATGAAGGCTCGCAGTTAGCGGTGAACAGCAGAAAACGAAGAAGAATTTAGCTTTTTGTTTTTTGGTTGGCGTCACGGCAGAATCTATAGGTAAAAGTAAGCGAACACTGCCTTTGGATGCAAAGCAAAGTGTTAAAACCAGCATGAACATCAAAGCGATTTACACATGTTTTAAGGAGGATACAAAATCATGGACTGATGGTGACCTGTCTTTGTTGCTACTGAACTTGTAAGTAACAATATGGTTTTTGTCCACCAATGTGGATCTTTTTACTTCGTAGCTTATTTATTATCAATGGGATAGGGCTAGCTCACTGTAAGCATTAGCCACAACAAGCTGCAGCAGCGTGCTAAATTGATTTCCCAGTTACCTCAGATGATGATGATGAGGCAGACGATGATGATTTTGATGATTATTAACAGAAAGGATGTTTCACAGCAATTATCTCACAGAGAACCCTCCCCTAACTGCAAATCGCCATTCTTTGTAGTTTAGGGGCTTTTACTTGTTGTCTTGGCTTCACAGCCTTGTGTGTTTAGTTCAGTTCCATTGCTCTTTCAACTAAAGTTTAAAGCTGTAGAAGGAAGCAGTTTTTTTTTCAGTAAAAAAAAAAAGAAAAGGAAAACACTGACAAGCCACAGTAATCAACTTGTTCAGTGGAGAGTAGCTTGTATTGTAAGGAAGGAAAAAAAAGAGTCACTTTAAATTACAGTTTCGGTCTTTCAACCTATACTGTACTTTAAAAAAAACACACGATTCAAATTGTGTTTTCTGTATAAAATGCTGATGCTTCCCAGTCTTTCACAAACATTTTGAGAATATAAATGCAGATGAAAGAGCTGCTTCTTCTGTTCTTATCTCAACTCTGATTCCAAGGGTCAATATATTCCCATTTGAACGCTTTGGGATGCTGTAGTTTTTTTTCCCTTTTTCTTGCATTTCTTCTGTAAGTTTGCAATAAAGTAAACAAGTGTTTATTTGCTGAAGTTTGATCACTGGCATTCTGTGGCTCTATTGTACTGTTGTTTGTCCCTGCTGTTATTAATCACGTCTGTAGCAAAGCCGACAAGCAAAGGTGCTCTTAAATTAACAGCTGATGTAACCGTGACTCCAGGGAGCCGTCTCCCTGATAAAGCTTCTGTTCAAGCTGCTTGGTTGGGGGACAGCAGAGCAAATATGTATTCATATTTTACACTTATGTTCAGGGAAGTAAAACAAACAACAACAACAAAAAAAAACAATAGCTGAAATAATCTGGATTATTGCTTGTACTCTTACTTTCAACAGTACAAGGAGGGTGAACATGAAATGGAATTTTACAGCTGGGGGCAAACATTTAGGTGGAGATGAATTCAGTAATAGAAAAAAATAAAGAATATCTATCTATCTATCTATCTATCTATCTATCTATCTATCTATCTATCTATCTATCTATCTATCTATCTATCTATCTATCTATCTATCTATCTATCTATCTATCTATCTATCTATCTATCTATCTATCTATCTATCTATCTATCTATCTATCTATCTATCTATCTATCTATCTATCTATCTATCTATCTATCTATCTATCTATCTATCTATCTATCTATCTATCTATCTATCTATCTATCTATCTATCTATCTATCTATCTGTTATCATGAATCCCCAGAATTATTTATGTAATTTGTCGGGGATGGGAATTTAAGCTGTTAATTATGATTCATTAATTAGAAAACACATAATGCATTAATAATGTACCCCTTTGAGTCCAAGCATCCCCTAATTGAAGGCTGAAAAAATTTAGCACCATATACAATGTTCCATGACAATTTACACTTCATCAATAACACTTATACTAATATTTACACATCCCAACAAATCCCACAATGGCTACCTTTATAATGAGACCAAAGTAATTAAATAGACCTTTTAGTTACAGTAATATACTCATTAAAGTGCGGGTATGTCGTCTTTGCCTCACTAACATTGTTTTTGCTTAAAAACATGGCTTGGGCACAAATAGTCTTGAACGATTAAAATGTGATTAATCAAGAAAAAAATGTTTACAAAACATAATTAGAATTTTTTTTAAAAACAAGTCCCACCCCTAGGATTTGTCATTTTTATTGAATAAAGTAAAAGACTTAAGAGTATTCCACCAGGTGGTTGACCCTTGTAGTAAAGGGTTAAATCTGTGGTACCGGCTCCATTCAACACCATCTTTATTGTGTGAGTAATAATAATGGTGATTTATCTGAGCTATAAGGGGACATATTGTTTTTATCTTGAGTTTATTATCAGAAATTGAATACAAGGTCAGTGGCTTTCCCATTATTGCAGTCACAGACACTTGGATCCTTACATGTTGAAACCAGACAAACCCAAATAAACTGATACTGACAATATGTAATATATATATATAGCAAAAGTGATTGCAGTGTAGACTGCTGAAAAACTGTTTGGCCAATGACAGCGACAATTTCAATAACTCAGATGTTTACCAGCTGTAATTAGAAATTCAAGTCATATTATGGTTGGCTAATTTCAGTTTCATAGCCTTTATTTTTGATTACTTTGAAGCTACGGACGTGCAGACATAGCGACATGCATGAATAATAACCTAGACATCCATCATTGCACAACTATTGGATCACGATTATTAGCTTTCTTTAGTTCATGAAACCTCGCTCTGAAAAGCCAGCCGCGTCCCTGTGAGACTGTTGGGGGTCTCTGGATGCAGTGGCTGCTGCTGCACTGGTAAAAACCAGTCCCTACGTAGCTGCATGCCTGCTGGAGTGTTCAGCCATGATCATGAGGAGGCAAGATAAAATAAAGCTGTGAGATATTGATCATTTGGCCTCCATAAATAATCAAAGAAAACCATCTCCACCATCCCCCACGCCCACCCTCACCATCAACATACAGCCATCAATCATTCTAACCTGGGACAAATCCAACACCTGCAATAGCATCCCTCCATGGCCACTGGAAATGGCCAGCAGCAGATGCATGCTGGAAATGTGTGTCACTCTTGATGAGTTTATTGCCATCCAAAGGAACATGAATGTTAATGAGCAGATTAGGAAGCAACAACAAACCACCCTGGCAAAGCACTTGGGGGAAAACATAAAGGAGACACTACTGTGCCCAGCTTTGCACCTGCATGTGTGACAAAAAAGAAAAAAAAATGCAGAACAGTTATTTTTAAACTAATTTGTGCCAACAGAAAATAAATTTAAGGTCAGATCTTACAAAAAACCTTAAAAATTGCCCATTCTGATCACATGCACGCAGCGTTTCTTCTCAGTCCCTCGGTATAAAAACCAGATTGTGGAGCAGAGCAGCAAAATGAACCCCATCTGGATGACAAAGCACAAATAACATCTTGAGCTCTCATCTAAGGATACATTTCCTTTTTCACATCAGGAGAAACACTTTCCTTCCTGACAATATTCAGTTCTTTGGCAATCCCTTGGCCCCATCACTGCACCATCATAAATCTGATCCAGTGACTCAGTGCTCAAAGCCCACCATAGAGACAGAGTACTTACCAGGACTGTCATGCAGAGAATTTTAATTCGGGCAGTTCCATGTTGCCAAGGAAATTCAAAATGCCTCCGAAAGCGTGGAGTCGGGGACGCAGGATTCAGGACAGGCTAGATTAGGATGGGTGAGAGGAATCTGCGCAGAGATGAGAATCCCTTGTTTGAGGGGCATTTGAGAAATACCTTCGTCCTCTCCAGATGCGCTAAATCCGGCCGCACTGATACACTGGCATGTAAACACACAGGCGGCTCTGCTGGCTCACACACGCTCACATACATGCTGCACCTAGCAGAGAAAGAGAGGAAGAGGGAGGGGCAGCCGATGAGAGGTGGAGGGAGGAGCTGCAGTGATCTGGGAGACGGAGAGGCACAGAGCACAGGCAGGCGGCAAGGGGAGTTGAAAAGAGATGGAGAGAAATGTTCTCAGGTTGCACTGGCAGCGTCTTATTTTTTTGACATCTCACTGTGCTTTTCCTGTTTAGGGACTGCTTTAATGATCTGGGCAAATTGGATTTAGACTGCTGCATGACAGGGGATTTGTGCTGAGAATATGGAAGGCTGGAAACAAAACAAAACAAGAAAAGAAAAGAGGACATCAACTATGTTCAAGGGTTAAAGGGTAAATGGTTCAAAAATCACACATTTGGATTGATATGTGCGAGATATGTGCATCTGCAAACCACAAGAACATTTCTGAGATCTAATGGCAAAGAGGACACAAATAGGTTAGACTGTGTTGTGTTATTCACATAAATGCTGAAAACATGTTTGAATTGCTTTAAAATAAAGAGCTTTAAATTCCTGATTGGCAACTAGAATACATTTCCTTTCTGTTTGTGGGATTTATTGCCAGAGTGTGAGATTATCGACGCCCCTGGTGCTCGGTGAGGTAATAATCAGACAAACTCACCTTTGCTGTGAGAGGAGAACTTTGGGGATGAGAAGCTGAGGCTTAACGGTGCTAATGAGCTTTAGGAGGGGTCTGGCACACCCACGCTGAAGCCGAGGAGGCCCCTCAGTCTGGAAGTGCTTACAGGAGATTAGCTGCTTGATGATTTAGTGAGGATGGCTGCTGGACGCTGAATGGTATGTGACAAAACCCCTCAGAGGAACAAATCATCTGGTGCGCAAGGTTAGTCCTCGTCAAGAAGAATGGAGCGGCCGTTCTTTCATTCATTTGAGACGTGACAGATGAGCTCCTGTACTAATTCTTAAAAAAGAAACACGTTGCCAAGGATTCAAAACTGCTTTGAAAGTGTAAAACATTACAAGGAAAATGCTGCCACACGTGCTCCCTTGCTGATTTAATAATAAAGTAATATATTTTCAATTTTAACTCATTTTTTGAGAAGTTATGACACATAGTGTGATCAGGAAATTCCATCCTGCTTCAGAAATAAATCTAGTAGACAAACCGCCGTACACAGAGCAAAAGACAGCCAATGGTGGCACATCTCCACAGAACAATAAAGCACACAGAAGGAAGAGAGTTATTAAGACAGTTGAAAGAGGCGATGCACTCTGCAGCAATACAACATAAAATTAATTTATGGCTCATTTTACCTACTACAAGCTAATCTAAAAGCAATGAGTTATGCCCCAAGTAAGAAATAAAACTAGATGAAAGGTAGTGCTGAAGAAATCTGGATGACGTTTGAGGAAAAAAACCATCAGACACAGAGACGGGGGGATTAAATCTCCATTTATGTATGTCTTGAATGGTGCTGCGCCCACTATAACCACTTAAAAAAAGATTGAACAGCTGATTCATGACAGCACATTTACATCCAATGGTCTCCGTGAATTTTCATCTCCTTGCAGAACTGTGTGAATCGTCACCTATATTTAGTCGCTGGATTTGCTCCTGAGACATTTAAAATGTATGAGTGTGCCTTTTTTCTAATTAAGATACAAGTGCTCTCTCTCTCTCTTTCCCATAATTAATGTCTGCACTCATGCAATTTGCCTTCTAACTAGATGTTTTAATAATTTTAATAGTGATGAGCTTGCACAGTGATATGAGTAACTTGCTTGAGTTGAGAGTTGGCAGGCCATTGATTCCAGTTGGTCTGGTTTCCTGGTTCTCCTTTGATTCTTTGCAACTAAAAATCCTGATTTAGTTTTCATGTGGCTCTAAACTGCCAGCCGGGTTGTGCACCTATGGCCTGTAGCAGAAAGCATTGATAAAATAACCAACACCCATACTTTTTAGTCAGTATTGCTGAATCCTGTAATGGTGGAAGCCATAAATCAATGTTCCTGTTTGAGTTGTTGACAGGAGATGTTATGTGCTGCAGCTGGCTCGTTACTGAAGCCAGCTTTGTGTGTTCATTATTACAGCGTCTCTAGTCTCTACTCTGCTCATTCTGATAAGAACCCAGTGTAATTAGTTTGGTTTCAACTATGATGCTAAACTCAAAGGCTGGGAATAAAAATGCATGTTACAATAATCGACAGTCAAGTGAGTTTGATTTATTATACAGAAAAAAATGTTCATGATTTTAATTTTCACATGACTCAGCTGCATGGAGCTACACTGTTATGTTATTTTCATGGGACGGTTGCATTAAACGTCCCTATGCTGGATGAGAAGCGAGTTGAAAGAATATCTTCGGTGTGTGAAATTGTATTTTTCCTCCACACAGATTCCCAGTTTTCAATTGAGACACAAAACGTTGTGTCCTGAACATCAAATGATACAAATTACGACCAGTCCATCAAAGCTGACTACCAATTCGACTCAGTCTTGGGAAGTCATTTCCAAAGGTTTAGTTCAAATATTTGTACTCCTCATGCAGAGTAAAAAACTGATCTGTAACTCAGCACATCCCTTTGGATATTGGGACATAAATGCTCAACGTTACACACATACTACATATTCTGTGTGTGTGTGTGTGTGTGCGTGCGTGCGTGCGTGTGTGTGTGTGTGTGTGTGTGATGTGCAACATTAGCTCGTGGCTTTCACCCCTTAAATTGGTGGAACCAGATTTGAGTGCACTGCAGTATCTTCATTTTCACCTAAAACTGTATACGGAGCCTAAACCACGCCTTGGGTCCCCAACAAGTCTGATATGTGCCATGCATTTCATACATGATGTTTGTGAATTTTACAGACACATTCTGATGCCAACAATGTGCTTCTTTTCTAACGGCGGTAAAAGTAATTTAGGTTTTGTGTGAAAACACGTTTAGGACTACAAATGTTTGTCTCACCAAAGTGACATCCTCAAACGAGACACGAAGAGGGGAGGATTAGTTTAACGAGATCTGAATCCTTCTTTCAGGATGACAGAAGGAGCATTAAAGGTGGAGAGATCCACCATTATTCTGGCCATGTGGTAAGTAGCAACTACGCTGGGGAAGAAGATATTCTGTGGTGATGTCATATCTGCGATGTCTGATTTGTAGTCTTTTTAATTAGGGATTTTTACAAGCTAATTTATCTTAAACTGCATGACAGACATAGTTGAACCACACTTTATTACTTTTCACTTCAATTGAAGTACAGCATATGAGGGATTGAGGACATAAGGCAACGTGGATTATAGCTCCATTCACTTGCTTTCATTCTTTCTTTATTCCGGGGACCCATGAGCTGACAGGAAGGCGAGGAGACCAAAAAGCATCAGAGGAAAAACAACACAGACTCTTGATGTTGGTACTCTGTGGCAGGAGACTTGCTATTATCAATATTGTAGCATTTTATTACTCAGAAACCACCATTACACAAAACTGTTCATTTTCTGCCTGGATATCAATGAGAGTTTTTTTTAAACTAATTTTTCATATATTTTTTATTTCAAGACTAGAGCGTTGACAAATCATCAGCAGCTTTTAAGCTGTAGTGAAAATTGTAGACCTTAGAATCACCAAGTGCTGATGTTCACAGATCAATAAACACTAAAGTGCTTGTGCACACATGCTCTGGCAGCGTGCACAGAAAAAAGTTTAGGTTGATACACATGTATGATTTATAGTAGTTTCATAATGTGTGTTTACAAGGAGGGGACCGCAAGACTTCTACTGGAACCAGCCACTAAAGGGTGCCTGTTATGTTTTTGCATATGAATCGTATGTATTTTGATGATCGTAAATATATGAACTTGAGTGGGGAGTTGCTCGTGAACTCCCTGATCCCATCTAACTGTCTGGTTCTAAAATACATTCCTGGCACTGAAGAACATTACCCCGGCTTTCCACAGGAGCCGTCAGCAGCACGTTACTGCAGCAGCACGTCATAGCTGCTGATAGGAACGGCTGTGGTCAACAGAACCTTTTCCACTGGAGCCGTCGGCAGCCGTCAGCAGCGCGAGTCGGCCGCGTCTCAGGAGCAGCATGTCGCGGCCTTTACGCGCCGGTTCTATTTCCTACGCGCGACGCCTCTGAAACGGGTCAAGTTCGACATTTTTGGGGAAGGAAAGACAGGAAATCGGACGCGGAAATGGAGAGAAGCTCCCGAGATTTTCAGAATAAAGAACGTACTGCCTTCCGGTCGCTTTACTTTAAAAAAGGTTACTAACTGTGCGTCCCCGTGAGAAGTTATCACCTAGCTAGCGGTCTCCTTTGTTTTTCAGGTCCGTATTGGCTATTATAAAACGGACAGAACATAAAAACACAAACATTTTGGAGCCATGTTGTAGTTTTCTCCTGCTTGTTGTTGTGTTTACTGACGAAGTCATTCGTGTGACTTCGTGCTCGGTTGGTGACAGCTGCTCCCCTGCTGCTTCGCGTCTCGTGGGAAGGGCCAAGCAGCAGCTTACGCGAGCAAGACGTGCTGCTGCAGTAACGTGCTGCTGACGACTCCCGTGGAAACCCGGGGTTAGACGTAAAACTTGGAAACCTGCTGCTTCCCACGTCCATCACAAGTCAACCCAGCATATTAAGTTCATATGTACTTTTTGTATTATTTATTTTGGGGTTGCTGTTGCAATTTCCATGGAAGCTGAAGAACAAAACACCACTAGGGTAGGGTCCTTAAGAAATCTTCTTGTCAAATGAAGTAGGAGACTTTTTTCTTCTTGATTCAGCTTAGAGATATCTGACATGCTTTATTTCAAGCAACAACGTCACAGGAGGCCCGATTCCACCCAGTTTTAGTCAGATGTGTACAGAAATCAAAACCTTCTCCACTTAAACGTATAAAAAGGGCAAATAAGGGGACAAGGCCGTAGACTACTGGTTGGTGTTCCAAGCGTGATGGGGTACTTCTTCCCATCGAGTCTAATCAGCGTGTTGTCAGACATATAGATTAGGTAGTAAGAGTCACTCAGCTGCTAATATGTGGCAG